AGTTTTCTGGTTGTTCCATGGAGCACCCCCATCCCTCCCCCCATGTCCCTCAACATGTCTTCACCTCTGACTTGTAAGCGCCACTGCACCCGTCCCCCCGCTGCCACTTGTTTCGCCCTGGCAAAGACACAAACTTTTATTTAGCCATGTTTGAGTGCCGCCTGCAAAAGCCACCGCCACCGCCGCCCTACAATTTGCAATTCTAATGTAATTTTTTCGCGAATCATAAGTTAGGAACAAACCTCTCCGCTCCGCTCCGCTTCCCACCCCACCCCGCCTTTTCCCTTTCCTTCCTTTATCCACCCACCAAAACAACTCTCAAAATCGCGTCGCCCTTTGCAATATAAGGCGGGGATTTACTTGGAAAATATCCCCACAGCTCTGCCGCCCGCTCTGACCAATTGTAAAGTTCTACAAATTCGGTTATGGCGGCTTTTCCTCGTTAGTTACGCGGCACAAATCGATCAGAGCGCAAACAAAAACGAAGACCCGGAAAGGAACACAACAAAAATATGTTAATTTTGCATCATGTTTATTACAAATTAATACGGAATCGAAGGCAGGGACTGGCAGAAGCGGGAACTTGGCATACAAAATGAAAACGAATAAGGAATTCCCTGACATTCGCAATAAAAGACAACAGAAAAGGGAAATTCTGAGTGCATTCAAGAGGTGCCATAAATCTGTTCTGCCGCTGCTCATGGATTGAAGCTGCGATGTGAAATAGTTCTAACCTTAACAGAGAAATATCGATCATGGATATGTACATATGCAAGTAACAGGCAGAGATCTCTGTGCTCTCTGCTTTGCATCGTAAATTTATTTCAAGCGAATTCTGTTCCCTTGCCATTCGTTCAGTTGCGCTCATAATTAGCCAGCGAAAAGGGATTGCAAGAAGCAAAAAAAAAAAAAAGGGTCGGCAGAGGGTCGGTTAAATATTCCTACCCGTACCCGCACCCGCTACCCGTACCCGCTACCCGCATACCGTACACTCCACTCCCCAAAATAAAACTCAAATTTAAACAATGCCACATCGCATTTACATTTGCATTATTTAGCATTTAAGCGTCACGCGTTGCGTAAACAAATTGTGCAAACAAAAACAACAGCAGAAAGCAGCAGCAGCAGCAGCAGCAAGCGCGAAATTCATTAAACAATTTCTTTTTGCTTTTCTTTTTTTTTGTTTGCTGCTGGATTATTTGTTCTTTGGAATGGGTTGGGGTTGGGGTTGGGTCGGTTGGAGCTTATCTCAAGTGAAGCTGTAACTGAAGGCAGCAGCAGCAAGCAAGCAAGCAAGCAGCAACTGAGACTCTGGGGATTTAGTTGGTCAGTTTTTAAAGCCCCCCAACACACACACACACACACACACAGGCTGCATGTATATATGTGTGTGTATATCGCTTTATACACACCAATGCACTTATTGGTTTACTTGTTTACATGGCAAGCTGCTCGTTTTCACACTCTTTCTTATTTGCTTTAACATTTTCGCATGCATATGCAAGCAGCAGCCAGCAAGCAGCCAGTAGCCAGCAGCCAGCAAGCAGGAGGAGCGACCGGACGCTGTCCAGAACGATTCAGGGCCCAAGTGCCACAGCACAGCAGAGCACAGCACTGGATGTCCCCAGCTTCATGTCCTTCCTTGCTGTTGTTGTTATCCTGCGGTGGCCTGCACACTCTCTCCCATATGTGTGTGTGGGTGTGTGTGTGTGGGTGTGCCGCTTTAAGTGCGCTTGTATGCATCTGCAGTTGTTTGCAATGTTTTTACATCGAATGTTGATTGTACAAAACCACTGAACAAGAAAAATTAATTATACAAAAACGTCACCGCCAAACAGCTACCGAAAACTGTTGACCCAATCGAGGAGGAGTGGGAGGAGGAGCAGGAGGAGGAGCAGGAGTAGGAGCAGGCGTTGCAGCAGAAGCAGCACTCCCACACACATATGTACATGCATATGCATGTGTGTATGTACATATATGTATGTATGTATTTGGTCTGATGAAATTTCGTTTCGTTTTGCGGCTCAGATAAAACGAATTTATGCCTAACCAAGAGACCCGTTCTGGACAGCACACAGACACACACAAGCACACACACAAACATGCGAGTATAATTCATTATACATATTTATTTATTATTTAACATACGAATACGAGCACGAATGTTAGACAGACAGCCAAGCAGGGGCCCCAGTAACCAACCGCAGTGTTTAAAACGAATCTAATAAATCAGACCTAACTGGCAGACTGGCAGTTAGACAAAAGGGCAACCAAGTGCAGCAGCAGCAGCCATAGCAGCTGTGTCCAGGGCCATCTAGAATCAATTTATGCAAAGGCATAAGGCCGCCTCTCTCCCATTTCGCCCCCCACTCCGCTGGCTCTCCACAAATAATAATCCTTCGAAATCGGTTAAAACAGCTTTTAAGCAAATGTAAAATGTGAAATCCTGTAGCACACTTTTAAGCGTTCGCTTAATATGCCAGCGAGAATTCAATGGGTGGTTTCGTTTCGTTTGGTTTCGTTTGGTTTCGTTTGGTTTGGGGTAAAATGCTAAGCCGCAGCAGCAGCAGCAGCAGCAGGAGCCGTTACAAAACCAAGACGTTGAATGCCGCGGGCACTGTACGTGTTCAAGTGTGAAGCTGCCACAGCACAGCACAGAACAGCTCAGAGCAGCCACGCCCCCGCCGCTTGGCAGCACTTCCTCTTCCTCATCTGCTGCTGCTGCTGCTGCTGCCTCTCCTTCTGTGCTCTGCGCTTTGTGGGCGGCACAAATCGACGCTTACACTTATATTATGTATTTTTTGTAGTCGTTGCTTGTACTTCTGTTTTCTTCCCCATTTTTATTTTCCTTTTTTTTTTATACATTTTTTTTGTGTGTTGCTGCTGCACACGGAAACTGCGTTTTTGCATTTCTTTCAATGGCATTGCGTTGCATTGCATTTAGATGTTGCTTTAGGAGTGTGTGTGTGCTCTCAGCTTTTGTTGCCGTGCAATGAAATTGCTTAGACCCACACACCACCAAACCCCACCCCACCACACTCTTCGGTTAACCGTTTTCTGGGATTCCAGCAAGTTTTTATTTCAAGCAGCCAGCAGCGGAAGTGTGGCCCTTGTTGCTGTAGTAGGAAAATGCTTAAAAGGAAGGGGTGTGCCAAGAAACTAGGAGGGGGAGAGCAAAGTGGGGTAGCCAAGTCAGTGCTGGATGCTGTATGCTGTGTGCTGTGTGTGCAACATTGTGGCACATGGCAAACTGAAACTGATGACAACGACAATAACTGTAATGAAACAGAGATAAGCTCTGCTGGCCAGCAGCAGCAGCAGCGGAGTAGGAGTAGGAGATGGTGGTGTGGGTGTGGGTGGGGGTGTGGATGGTGACTGGACTCCCGCCCTTGCTGGCTATGCGGAGTGCTCTCCCGGAGCCAAATGGCATGCTCATTTGTAGTGCCATTGTTGGACGCTGGGGCACAAATTGTGTGCAACGGGAGCTGCCCAGAGAGACGATTATCGCGGTCGCCTCTCCGCAACTGAAGGAGTGTGCAAATGGAGCTTTGGGGGGCTTTTAGATTTCTGCGCGCTCCCCCAAAAAGCGTGTGCCGTGATTGATGGCAGCTGATGGATGGGCATGAGCATCAGGATACGCTGCCGCCAAAGGAAAGTAGTGGCTGTGCGCCCAGAAATCGTTCCAATTTAATATTTAAATTGGTTTCTCAAGATTCAGTCATGCAAATCGATTAAACTCCACTGCCACTGCCACTGCCACTTTGGGCTTGGCTTTTCTTTCTGCCACATTGCCACACTCTGCCCGCCATCCCCCCCTCGCACGCTTTTTCTCTGTCAATCTTTTTCTTCGCATTTTTTTTGTGTGTGCCGAATTTTTCCTTTCCAAATCTAACCTCTCCGCTGGCCACTGAATAATTAAAAAAAATTTGCCACTCAGTTGGCTGTGCGGCCTGCCCCACCCCCAGCCAGCCAGCCACTGCCTCATCCGCTGAACCACCCACTCCCGGCCCCGGGAGCAAACTGTGTGACAGCCTCAACCGCTGCCTCTTCTCTCCTTCTCGTTTCAGCGTCATCGTAGCTGTCAGCTTCAACTACGCTTTCGTTTTTATGCCCCCGAACCTCAAGCCAAAAAAAAAAAAAACGGAATAGAGACAAAGAGAGACAGAGAGAGAGGGAGAGAGACGAAAACGAATGTTGAAATTGTTGATGTTGACATTGCGCCTGGTCTGGGGTTCGTTCTCCTCCTCCCTCACATTCATCCGTATCCGTATGCTGTGCTCCACACTCCACTCCACTCCTCTTCGCCCACACTCGTCGCTCCCATTCCTCATGTTTTGGCGAGTGATTTATTTGACTGACACTTTTTTCTGCGTTGATTGCATCGTAATCCCAACATAATGAGTACTGTTATATTTCATGGCCATTCTCGTTGCGAGCCAGAGACCCAAATGAAGTAGACAATTTTTCAAAAAACAAAGACGGAACATAATGGCGGAAAGCTGGAGTGGGAGTCGGAGTGGAAGTGCTGGAATGGGAATGGCAATGGGAATGAGTGTGCGGTGTGGCACAAAACGCTTTTGCCATTCGCTCTGCCATTGTGCATGTGGCACACGTAGGCGGCCACTTGAGAGAGGACTCGTCGCGGACAAAACGTTGCTCAAATTTTCATCATTTGTTCGCGTCAGAAGCAGCAGGAGTAGGAGCAGCAGCAGCAGCAGGAGTAGAAGTGGAAGCAGGAGCAGCAGCAGCAGAAGTAAAAGGCAGGCCATTTGCCACACACACAAACACACACACACACACACACACATCTAAACGATTCACAGGCAAAGTAAAATTTCTATTTGGGTTTCATTTCCCGAACTAAATTTCATTTCTTACGCTCTGCCACATCGACAATCTAAATTGGAGGATTGAAAAGGGAAACGCGTTGTGGGATTTTCCATTCAAGTGGCAGGCGGCAGTCGTCCCCCCACCCCATCACTGACACAAATCAGAAGTCAGTCGATATGTAGCAATATATATGTTTAGTTTCAAAATTCCCTCGTTCCTTCCATCCGTTTCCGGACTGTCCAGAGCTTCGTTTTAGTGTGTGTTTTTTTTTTATTCTCTTTTTTGCCACAGCGATGAATGCCGCACGTGGATTCCGTGCCATGATCGTGGGACCGCCCGGCTGCGGCAAGGGCTTCGTGGCCCAAATGATGGTCAAGACATACGGCGCCGTGCACATATCCACGGGCGACATGCTGCGCGATCACATCCGCTACCGCACCTGGCTGGGCAAGCGGGTGGAGCGCTTCACGACGCGTGGCAAGCTGGTGCCCGACAATCTGCTCACCCGCATAGTGACGGACGCCATTGGGAAGGCCGGCAATCGGAACCTCATACTGGACGGCTTTCCGCGGAACATCAACCAGGCTCGGGCACTCGACGAAATGATGACCCTGGACTTTGTGCTGGACTTGTTTCTGCCGATGCAGGCGATCATAGCCCGGCTGAGAACGCGCCTGGTACACCCGGCGTCCGGCCGGGTGTACAACGACCACGGGGACATGGCGCCCCGTGTGCCCGGCCGTGACGATATCACCGGCGAGCGTCTGGTGCGCCGTGCCGACGATACCTCCCACTCGGTAGTGATGGCGCGGCAAAGGGACTACGTGCAGGAGACCTATCCCGTGATCCAGCACTACTCGCAGAAGAACATCCTCCACACGATCCTCGCCCGCCAGCACGAGAGCATGGTGCCCCTTGTGAAGCGCTACCTGGCCAAGCGCTGGCCCAAGCGGATCCACCAAAGATTCCGTCCCCAGCGGCGCATCGAGCTCGTGTGCAACCAAGGTCCCCGTTCCAAGAGCTCCACCCAGCAGTATCGCTGGAGCGTTTCGTAGAAGTTCGGCAAAGTGGCAAAGTGGCAAACAGGAAGAGGAGATGGAGATCGTGTGCAATAAAGGTCCGATGTTTCGTTTGATTTATGGAGTGAAGGAGAAACTCGGCCTCTGGCATTGCTGCAGCTAAACGACTATTCAATTCCCATCAGATAATGAATCCTCGGGCAGACATTGTCCCACGAACACCTCCATTGGCTTTGTAGCCTCTGGCTGGCAGCTCTCCTGCAGCGGCTACAACGATGCTCGGGCCACTGCAGCGTTCCGCTGCCATTTGGCACCTGTTAGCCTGAGGCCGCGCTTTGCATTTGACGCTCGTGGCACAACAGGCTTTGCCCTTTGTGGGGTTGTCTGGGCCCGTTGGGCCCATTGTCATCCATTCCATCCACTGGGCACTGCAGCAGGACACTGTACACTCCATGCGGCTTCATTGTTGTCCGCGCAAATATTTCAAAGATTTTTGGGCGCTGTGCTTAAAAGTTTAACGAGCGAGGAGCAGCACAGGGAGTGAGGGGAAGTGCGCGAGTCAAGTTCTGAGATTTTTCTATGCATAATGCGGAGATTTAGACTGGAACTTGCGACTCCAAATGGCAGCTAATTTCTCTATGTCTGTGTCTGGTTGTCTCGCTCTCTCTTTCCTTTCCTTTCCTTTCCTGCTGTTTGTCTTGTTTCGTTTTTCTGCCTTTGCTTCTGTGTCGCATCTGTGTGCGGCGGCAATAAAAACTTTTATTGTTGTCACACGTAGCACACACCACGCCCCACACCCCACACCCCACTGTAGAGCGCAACAGTGAAGCAGGCCAACAGTTCCTGCAGCTACCTACTGCTCCGCTCCACTCCCCTGTTCGCCTCTTCTGCTGTTCTGTAACCTGCGTACATACTTCCGTTTTCCGCTTTGGCGTTTTCCAGTCCCCCTTGCTCGCTTCTTGCCCTCTTCTTTGCCTCTACTTATTTTTTATTTGGGGCCCCTGGCCAAATTGAATAAAATGGCCTCAGTTAATGGTTGTCGGGGCTGATTCAGTTAGCGCATAAAATGAGCAGAGGCTCTATCCGCCATCTCGCCCAGTACCCTCTCCCACTCTGCCCACTCTGCCCAATCTTCCCACTCTCTTCTGTCCTCTGTTTCTGCTGGCTTTCTCGCTGTATATATTTTTGGTCACAAATGTGGCGCTCGGCCTAAATCTCGGTTTTACGAGCGCATTCCTTTGTTCTGGTTGCGTCCGTCTCGTTCCGCCCCGTCCCGTCCGTCCCTCGCAATTCTCATTCGCCATTGTTTTCTTTATTATTTGTTTTATTTTTACATACTTTTGTGCGAGAGTCAGTCTTTAGTTGGCCCATTATCCCAGGGTCCAGAAACGGTGCAGGCGGAGGAGGAGCAGCAGGGGAGTAGTGGGAGCTGGAGTGTGTGGCATGTGGCAGAGGTTTTGGGGGCACTCTGAACAATGTGAAAATCAATGCTAATATATTAAACATGATTGTTCTCGCTGCATGTGTACACACTTTTTTATGACACCGCGGTACAGTTGGCAACAAAAAGCATGACAGGCAGGGAGTGGGAGACAGGAGAGAGTAATGGGGAGGGAGGGCGGTATGGCAGTGTGGGCGAAGAATTGTAACAAATTGCAGTCAACGCATGAATAAATAGATTTTAAATTTGCGAACAGCAAAAACAAAAAATGAACATTCGAAACAAAATTGCAACAAAAGGCAAATAATTTCGAAAAAGGAAAAAGAATCGCCCGAAGAGCATTGAACATCGACAAAAAGGAAAAGCATCAAGAATATATTTTTCACGTTTGTTGGCCAGAAGCAGCAGCAGAAGAACCCGAACCCGAAAACGAGCCCGAAACAGGGTCCACAGACAGCGAGACAGACAGGCAGATGGATGTTCGTTTGGTAGGGGCGGGGCGCGGATGGGTTGCTGCATTTAAATGAACGACTGCAAAATGCAGACAGTCGGACATGCAAATGGCAGTGACGAGATGTAGGTGGCACGTGGCATGTTGAAGCGTGGCAAGGAGACGGGGTTGGGATGGGATGGGATGGGCTGGGTGCCTCGATAGGGTTTTTTGGGTAGATGCTGCTGCTGCTGCTGCTGCTGTAGGGTGCCTCTCCACCCTGTGCCTGGCTGTTCCTTTCGCTCTGCCCAGCATTGGAATGACGAAATGCCCGTTCGCTGGCTGGGCTGCCTCGCTGGCTGCCTCCTCTGCCTCACTGGTTGGTTGAGTGTTTAAAACGGCTATTGTGCAGCTTGTGGTTGCTTTGCAAATTGAATAAAAGTTCATTCGAGTGTAAGGGAACCGATAGCACACCAACACCAACACACACACATACACATGGAAAAGCGTACAAAAAAACAAAAAACCAAGTGCAGAAAAACCCAACTGCGAACGAGCCAACGAACGAATGAACGAACATTGAATGAATGAATGTGAATGTAATCGTTTTGCAAATGAAAATTGATTTTTGAATTGTGGGTGGCCCGTCCTGCCCGTCCCGCCACCGCTGGTCATTCTCTTTGCCCCCCTCCTTACTGGTGCCTTGCAACCTTTCCAACATCCAGCATCCGGCGCTCTATCATTCCGGCAAGCAACTAAATGAAATCAGCGACTGGACACGGCAGCACCAGCAGCGCCACCAGCAGCAGCAACGATAGACTGCATTCAAGTGACAGCATTTTGGCTACCCTGGAATAGCTATCGGTGCTATAGACATTTGCGTTTATTTTTAGCAGAGCAAAAATATATTTTTTATTCTTTTTCACACAAAGCCCTAGCTTAGAACGAAATTTCTTATAGAAGATATGTAGCAAATGATAGTTAGAATTAAGTAGCGGCCGAGCAGAGTTTTTCCCATTGCCAGAGCTAACAGATAGAGACATCAGACGTGGCTTTACCCCCACTCATCAGTTGATCCTTACCCCGCTTCTATGTAACAGTTCCCAAGGCAATTCCCTCGCTAAGGTTGCCCAAACACCTGCTCGAAATTGTCATAGCCTCCCTCTATCCAGGGTACACAAAAATGTATAAATAAAAAATATATTTGCAGCGCTGTGCGAGCGTGCGATGTGCAATTTGGTTTTTAATTTAAATGCCAAATTTAAATATAAATTTAAATCTCTCACAAACGCATAACCAAATATGAGAGAAAAGGAGAGATGGGGATAGAGATAGAGTGCGAGCGAGTGGCAGATAAAGCTGCGAAATAAAAAAAAAAAAAAAAAGTAACAATAAAAAATAAAAACGCATGGAAAAAGTACCAGGCCGGAGAGCTGGAGAAGGACGAACCAGAGATAAAGAAACTAAAAAATTGCCATTAATAATGCAAGGCTTAAATATTTGAATGTTGCTTGCGCCCGCCGTCTGTGTCTATCCGTTGATGGTGCCACAAACACAGTGGGCGGGCGCTCTAATTGTGTCCTAGTGTGTGTGTGTGCGCGCCGCGCTTGGAGAACGCACAAAAGTATGCTATACATTTTTCATGCGGCCATAAAAAAAGCAAAAACATACGGAAAATAGTGTGCTGCTTGCTATGCAGCAGTTGGAAAAGCTTGGAGCTCGACGCTTTTCTTATGCCACAACGAGCGCGTTTTGCTCAATTCAAAGATGGGATGCACAGACAGACAGACTGAGAGACAGAGAAAGGAGAAGGAGAAACCAGCCAGCGAGAAAGAAGAGAAAAAAGAGCCAACAGTTAGGTTGGTGAGGGGAGAGGAGGGGAAGACGGGCAACAAAGTGGATTTAAATTATTCAAAAAATGCGATTGTTATTTGCAAAATGTGCAGTGAATTGAGACGCGCACAGACAAGCGACGACGACTGCGATTCACGTTGGCGAAATAATGTTGTATTTATGAGCATGGAATAGTTGGCTAAAGAGTTGCATAACCATTGCAGCAGGAGGTGGGCGGCAGCACCAGCATGCAGCAGGCAGCAGGCAGCACCACCATGTCGGAGATGCTGATTGAAATGTGGCAAGATGCTGGCAAAAAGAAAAACAAAAAGAAAAACTTAAAGGGAACGAAAGATTTTGTGCTGGAAATTGTTGAAAATTGCAGCAAGAAATGTGCACTTAGGTAAGCTTTTCCGCTGCTAAATGCTGTTTCCTTTGAGATCCCCTCAGCAGATGACAGTTGGCTTTAGTTCCCTTTGTACATGAATCATTTTTGTTGGATTAAACGCATCCAATTTCTACAGCAATTGGATTCGGCAAGGCCTGCTTCCCTCAGCCGTTCTTCATGCGTAGATTTTTATGTTTTTGCCCAATTTACAGCCAATGCTTCTGGGCTTAAGCGTAGAAAAGCTGTGCAACATTTATTTTTAACCTTAACCACAATTGACAGCTGCATCATTTCTGCGAGGCAGTGCCACAGCTGGGTGCGCATCTATCAGCTATTTATCATCGGCGTTAAGCTCGTTCCCCGAAGCCTGAAAGCCAAAATTAAGCCGCTGCCACCCTGGCACCGACTGCTGCACCATGCACCGGTGGCATTGGTGACACTGCCGACACTGGCACTCTCCGCTCTGCTCTGTCCTGTCTCCTATGCTGAGCCGTCCGGCTCTCAGTCATTATAAATGAAAGCGCATCACCATCAACCATCTAGCATCTATTCAGCAGGAAGTACCACTCCTACTCCTCCTCCTCCTCCATTATCTATGGAGGATCCCATTCTCATCTTCTGCGTTTCTTCGGGGTACCAGAAGGAAAAAAAAGAAGCAAAACCCAAAATGGTTTTAATCAGTTATTCATGAGAGAGACGGAGAGAGTGCGACGTCAAACAAAAGCCGCTCCTGCTCCTGCTGCTGCTGCTGTTGCTGCTGCTGCTGCCGGTTGACATTGGAAGTCGCATCTGACGGGATGATGCCGCTGATGACGAGGCTGATTTCAGCTGCCGCCTGCCATGAAAATAAAACAGCAGGGAATGCTGTATGCGAAAAAAAATTTATGAGCTGGAAGAAAATGCTTGGCAGACACACACACACACACACACAAAACTCCACTCACACTGCGAAGATTCCAGTGGCAGTGGCAGCAGCAGCAACAACAATTAGCTGCAACTTAAAAGGAAGAGGCGCAAAAGGGTT